TTATAAGCTGACAGTCCGAACTGTAAATTAAGCATAAAATAACTTCATTTTGATTTGAGTTGCTTAGTGAAAAGACGCATAGTAGATGGACAACGAAAAAGATCATATGCGTCATATTATGTCAACGCCAGGGAAATCATGCCGCATCTCCCATATTCACCCGACATTGCACCTTCTGATTATCATTTATTTCGATTGCTGCAGAACAATTTGAATGGAAAAAAATTTTAAAATGTGGAAGACATCAAAAACCACCTTGACACCTTTTTCAACGAGAAACTGCGCGATTTCTATGAATCAGGCATCCGTAAATTGGTTGAACGTTGGGAGTGGATTGCCAAACATGATGGCGAATACATAATTGATTAATAAAAGCGCTTTCTTCAAAAAATTTCAATTTTAGTTTGCACTTGAAATCGGGCACGAACTTATGCACTCATCCAATAAATATAATAAACGTTGCAATATAAATCTTGGGACTTTTATCGAGGCGTGTTTAGCGAAAATCGTATATTTGTGTATTTGTCACATGTCCTGCAATTAAATTCGTAGGGAGAATACTGAAATAATGTTTAAATGGTGAAATAGAATTCTACTAGCACTTCGAAACCGTTGGTGCGATTTTCGGCAAAGATCACCCTCCAATTTGTAGTATTTCCACTTGGCTATCGCTGTAATTTTACTAGTTCACAATGAACTAGATTTATAATAGTTTGTCAAAGTAATTACTGCATGGAATTAATTTCTACCAACTGCTACTTCAACACAAATGTACTAGTATTTTACTAGTATAGTGTAAAATTACTATTTTATAGGACATTAGGACAGTTTAGGTTAGGATTCACTCGCCAATTGTTCCACCTTACGTAGATTTATTTTGGTCCTTTCTGGTGGCAGAAGGAGGTCCATTAGTCGTTGTATAGGGCGTCAACGCTCAAGAGAGTTTTAATGTCTAGTTTTGAAACCTCATTTAGGCTCTTTAACTTCTTTCCATTTGGTTACTGATTGTGTCTAGGAATTTCCCCGTAACACAGCTCCAGTTATGTCGTCCGCCTAGACAATAAGTTTTAGTGTTTTCCCCTTAAAGAATAGCCACAGGAGTAGTGACAACACTCTTGCTTCGTAGGGTATAAGTTTGTTAAAAATATCAATGGCTGAAACAGAAAATTATAGAAGATGAAAATATTAATTGGCGACATTACATTTCACTTCCGCGTGCTTATATGATCAAATATATATATTTACATATGTATGGGCCCGTGCATTGTATGCAATAAAGCCTAGCTAAGCGCTGCGCTTCAATTGCATCTTTATTCAAATATACATATGTACATACACGTATTTACGTTTGCGTGCGATAATCACGAGATTAGTCGTCACGCAAACTCGCCTTCGTGTCAGCTGCCATTGAACTTTTACATTTGTACAACATTTAATTACACTTTAATTGGACCTCTTTGCCTCGGTGGACTTGTTGAATGACAAGTAAAAGAGAATCGAAATTGAAAATTGCATTTTGTACACTTGAAAGTTTTAATTCGCTCAATTGCAATAACTTTTTGATTAAGTTTTTATCTTTTTTTTTATTTTTTGGGTATTTTAGAAATATAATTTTGGCTATACACAGATATTCTTCAAAATTCTTCAAAAATTATGAATAAATGAAATTAAAATATCACGCCAACCGAACTACAAATAAGAATGTTTAGTATAGACCGATCCGAAATCCCTTTCCCGGAAGATCTGTGCATTTGTGGAGTTGAGCGACAATTAAATTTTTTATTAATGTACCCGTTCAACCAAAAGCGAGCTTCATCGGTGAACAAAATTTTCTTGCGAAAATTGTTATCGGGAGCCACTCGAACGCGCGACGCGGCGCTTCGCCTTCAATTCTTGCACGATTTGGATTTTGTAAGCTGTGGAGTATTGGAAGCAACCCGCGATGTATCGGGCGAAATTTGGCCCCTGGGTTGGAATATATTCGCGCCAGCCGCGGCGGTAACAAGTCCGAATGCACAGAATGGCAACCCTTACCTTTTTAATGAACCGAACTACATGGCCATGACACCGAATGAATTTTTATTTTTTTTACTTGAAAACCACATGTCTAAAAAACACCCTCTACACATCACCTATTCCACTGTACACACAAACAAAGTATTTAAATGAATCTTCCATTCTTTTACTGGAAAAGCTGTGAAAATTTTTATACCAACTGGTGAACGGTGAGTTCCCAAAAATTACACCTTCTTAAACGAGGCTGACAACTATGAAAAATGGTGATTTCTCCCTTATCAAACACCTTTTGCCAACCATGTTTCCTTTACTTTTCGTTTTCTATACAGATCCACACACAGATAGGGTCTTAAGTTCTTTCTTTGCTGCAAAATAAGGTTCAGTTTCACTTCGTTTCGCTTGGTAATTAACAAAATATTCATACGTTTGTTATATGTTCTCATAAATTCTTTAGATGTTATTGTAAATATATTTAGTAAAGTTTCATTTATGTGTTTCAAATCAACTGGAAAATATTCATACAAACATACATGAGCATTTTATACGAAATATAAACACTTTTACACATTGAAATCTGTACAAAATAATGGCTAATTCTTTAAACCAACAACAACTACTTTACGCTAATACAACAACTATTACAACTACTGCAAACAACAATAACATAACATTTCTTAACCCATACCAGACCTTACGGGGAAAGAGTAAGGAGGTACAAAATAGAATTTCAAACATTTCACTTATATTTTGTGAACTATTTTATTTCAATAAGTTTTTATAGCCAAACATACATATACTAAATAAATTATTTCAACAGTGAATGAAGTTTTGATCATTTGTCATGAAATTTTAGAGGCTGTAATATCGAGCTACATTTTTGAGAAACTTTATAAGAAACTTTGCATTTGTAAAAATGAAATAAATTAATTAATTATTGCAGCAGGAATGAATGCTAAGCTAATTTAAACATACCGCATTTTACTAGTACAAATTGTGCTACTTTTTTATGGATTTTAAAAATGAAAAAATAATTGATAAAAATCTGGGAAATAAATAATACAAATTCGATTCAAATTTCTCTTACACAGAAGCATTTTATATTTCTTATTTTGATTTTTTTTTTAATTCAGCCAGCTTTGCTCATAACCATTTTTTCACTCTACTTTGGTTTAGCGAAAATTTATATAAATATTTAAAAAATATATTTGAATTATCTTAATCCTAAAAAGAAAATTGAAAAACTAGAACTAAAGTCCCAGCAAAGGACTCCTAAATATGGAACTTTCGAGTGCTATGAAGAGCAGTTAAACAGTTTTGAACAGAGAATATGTTAAGCAGAAGAGAGAGATAGAGAGAGAAAGAGAGAGAGAGAGAACGGGAGTCCGGCGATATAACTTTGTAGGTAGCAATGTGGGGTATAAACGGTAAATATGTTTAAATTCCGAGTACGGACCGCCCTTCTGAAGAGACTGTTAATACCAACATCACCAGGTTATCATCATTAAAAATAGTCTACAAATCCGGGTAGAAGTTCAGAGAAAATTAATATAAGGAAGAGGTTATTTAAGGGCTTGTCGGCCTTGAGAGATCCATATTGAGATAGACCGAAGTGAAGGTCTGTTAAGAGCCTTGAGTTTCGTTGTTGGTAGTAAATGGTAGGATTCTTTCTTAAATCAAAGCCGGACGCCGTCAGGGGTGTGCCAAAGCCCTACAGTAGGGGTGTTTACTTGTACACAAGGATAAGGGTAGTACCACAAAACAAGTACACAACTAACCATTGAGGTAGATGTGACTCCCAACATACAGCCTGGGGTTGGGTAACAGTAGAGCGCGTTGGTTCTAATCTCTTTGGTTACTTAAATTCTAAACAACAAATGGAGCACACCAATTTTTATAAATAGACATCTTGTTGTGCGATAAGCCTTAGATCACGAGGAAAAGTCTACTTAGTGTACTCATTCTTCGACCATAGGTATATCGACCTAAAAGTCAACATCGAGAGCTCTCAGCTTCCGATTAATCCCGCCGCCTTAGCATGATCAAAATCGGATATCGACACTGAAGCGAAGAAAATTGCAGACAGCATCATTGAGGCATTCGAAGAAGTCTGTCCTCTTCGTAAAACATCAGAAGCAACTGCTGTAAGGCCATGAACAAAGATACGAGTATATATGTATATAATATAATTGGTGCTTTATAGCCGCTGATGCCATTTTTCGGCCAAGCTCCTCCCCCAATTTGTGGTTTTGCGTCTTAATGTTTTTCCAACAAATGGAGGAATGTTTTTTTTACGAGGAGCATTTATTTCATGTCCGAAATACACTCGGAGGGGTTGACATTCCCTGCCGAGGGGCGACCGCAATTGGAAAATTTAACTTAATTTTTTTTTTAAATTTTTTCCATAACTTTAACGTTGGTGGCACCGGGATATGAACCCGAGGCTTTCGAATGTCAGTACGTAATGCTAACCACTCGGCTACCGTGGCCGCGGATACGAGTTAGCACTTTAAAACCGATAAATGCTAGGAATCGTCCCACCATCAGACCACATTTCAATTGTATAGAACTAAACTAACTAAACGCAACTCGCGGCGAGTTTTTATGTAAACATGATAATACCGTTAGAAGAATGAGAATCAAGAGGTTTTATCGAAGGATTATTTCAAACCGACCTTAAGACTGACAGCAAAGAGCGCTTCATTGATAGCCAAGCTAGGTCCCTTTTGGCCGTGTCTTTTCAACTTATTCATTGTAACTGATACTCATGACGCGAGTCACAATGTCGGCTTAAACACCAACATTCACATCGTGCAGATCCGGATGCACAGCAGCATAGAGCTCTTGGTAGTTTGCAAAGGTTTTGGTGCTGACGCCGAGAGAGCGTAGAGAAAATCTCCCCTCAAGCGCAACAGCAGAAGACCAAGAACTTCTTAAACCTTCACTCTTCCCTGCCCAAATAGACACAGACCCTCCGAGGGTCACCATTTAAATTATGAATAGACATTTATTATGGTCATTGAATGAATCCGACATGGAAATAAAATAATCAAAAATACAATAAATACTCTTCTGTTATGAAGTGAAGTGCACAAAACAACACAAATCTTTTCAGAAATACAGTTTAAAAAAATATAGTTGCATGGAGATATGCAAGGAAGGAAATATACACGAGTACATAGATATATAATGAGTAGAAGGAAGTAAAAAGTCATATTTGAAACTTAATCGTAATCGTAGTCATCATACAGTGGAGCCGGATCGGCTGGAGCCTGCTCTTCCATCGCCACCACTGGCGGCACAGCTGTGGGCCGCTCCTCAACCGGCAGTGGTTGCTTCAGTTTATCCAGCAACGTACCAATATCGAACTTCACCGTCGGCACGGCAATACCCTCGGCCGCTTGTAAGCCGACCATTTGTGATGAGAGCGCGTCAACATCCTGACGCGCCGCGAACAGCAATTGATCATGCGCCGCCAACTGCAGTTGCGCAGTTTGCGCACGTATTGCCGCCGATGCGACCTCCTGCTGAGCATTCTGCAAAGCAGCCGTCACACTACGCACATGATTTGCAGCCTCCTCGAGTTGTTGTTGTGCCGAATTGGCAACCGCCTGAGCCTTCTTGATTTCGATAGCCTCGAGTTGAACGCGCGCCTGTGCCACATACAAATGTTGCACCAGCGAATGTAGCGCACGCGTTTTACCTTCCTGCTCGGTGAGCGAAACAGGTGGATAGAGTTGCGACGGTGACATGAGTATGCCTTCAAGTGAACTATTAATTCCACCAGCTCCCAATGGTATGCAAGTGGTGCCTTCGGCTGGACGCATGTACGGGTAGGGCGCTGATTTCGGCTTTTGTGTTGACTCATCTTCCGGTATGCAGGTGGTCGTCACTTCCGTCGTGGTGTGCACTGTTGTGTGCGGTGCTGCGGTTGTGGTGGTCGTTGTGGCTGCTGCGGGTGCAGGCATGGCGGGCGGTTGTGCTGGTGCCGGTGCTGGCGTTACTGCGGTAGCGGGTGGTGGTGGATTATTTGCGTGATTTGCAGCAGGTGGCTTCGGTGTTGCACCCGGTATTATAGCAACGCATGTCGTTGCCAGTACACCATGCGAGGTATGAGTATGTGCTTCTATGTGCTTGGGTGGCGGCGGCTCGGACTCTACAGATATAGAGAGAGAGAGTACAGAGTAGAGAGAATACATTTATTTACAAAGGGCGAATTACACACCACATTCTGTTGTCGTTTCGGCGGCTGAGCGTGGGTACAAAATATAATCCGAATCGGATTCGTTCGGCTGATAATCTACATCAGCTAAATTCGCGCTCTGCATATAGTCCATGTCATCATTCATATCGGGCTCCAAATAATAATAATCGTCACTGCGAAACGGGACGGGAGTTGTACTTGTAATGTGCAAAATCACCACCAGAAGTACTGCAAGATCGTCGAGACGAATAGAGAAAATGCGTTAAATGAGTTAAGTGAGTTTCAAATTCCCAACACCGCTTAGCTCACCAGTCCATATCAAGCGCGTCAGTTGCATTGAAATGACATTTAGGGCGCTTTAGTATTTTGTCTTCACTCGTGTTCCGAATGCAATTTGTCAAAACTGGGTTTGCTACAAAAAGAATAAATAAACAAATTTGACGAATAATTTCTGTTTCGACTCAAACAAGTTTTTGACAGAGTTTCACATTTTACAAGAACAGGAACAACAAAAGGGAAACTGAAATTTGAGTTTTTTATGAAAATTAAAATTGAATGTATGTATGTAAGATAAAATTAAAGAAAATATCTCAGAAATTACGGTAAACTGAAATGAAATAATATTCAGGTGAAGGCTTCTCACAAAAAGTCTAGGGCTCTACATTTATTGGTTAAATAGCAAGACGCGCGTCATAAATATGAGGAACAGATCGAGTTATAAAGCGCCAATTATAATAAATAATGTTTGTATACCTACATACATATAGTATGTTTTTTAAAAATTAATTTATGATCTTCTATATTTATACAAATCCCCCTGAAATTCCCGTTTTTTGTTTCTTTCTTCCCCTTCCTCTTCAAGTTCGAAAATACAACGGTGAGCTAAGGCAGTGTCAAAGTCTCTTTCTACTTCACTTACTTCACCTGTATGTTATATCATCAAGGGTTAACGGTTTTCTATAAACTTTTGCTGAATTTGATTCCGTTCGTAAAATGGAATGAACGATAAAATAAGATTTAAGAAAGAACAAAATTCAGCCGTGACCGAATATGAAAAACGCTACAGTGCTTTCGTTCTGTGAAAAGTATGATAAATATCAGCGAAAATTCGAAAGAAAATGTAGCAGATGTGGCAGATGTATGCACCGTTTGGACTGATAACTTTTTACCATATCGAAGGTTATGCCATTATGCCCCTCTCATAGGAACACTTGCCCCTATTGTCAATCGACTTTCATAGTGTTCTCTTGAGACCAATTCTTCAGTAGCCAAATCATTCGCCACAGACAGGAAGAGATCACTTATTGCGAGGTCTGGACTATAAGGTGGAGGTGTAACAACCTTCCAACCAAGCTTCCGGAGCTTATGACGAGACACTATCGTTGTGTGTCGTCTGGCGTTGCCCTGATGGAACAAAATTTCTCTCAGACAGTGCAATTCCTGACAGTACAGGTCCGAATTAAGAGTTTTGGCATAGAGAAGTAGCTCTTAGTGGATGATTCCTCGCCAATTCCACTATGTACGCAGCAAAATTTTCCCGACCATGAATTTTGGCTTGAAGATCATTTGTGTGGGCGCATTGTCATTCGACCACGACCGTTTTCATTTGACGTTGATGCAAATGATCCACTTTTCATCATCTGTCATCGTCCGATTCAGAAATGGGTGGAGTTAGTTAGAATTCAGCAGCGGCTCGTAGATGGAATTTCGGTCCATGCGGCACCCATTCATCGAGCTTCTTGTGTGTCCAACCTTTTCCAATTGGTTTCAAATTGTTTTTTGTGCAATATTTTGCTACCAGTCAATGTAACAGTAAGTAAGTGGAGTAAGACCCGACGATCTCCACTATTTTATCCATATTTTCGACAATTGGCCTTCCACACCGTGGAGCAGGTATGCAGATCACTAGAGCCTAGCACTGCGAAATTAACCCTCTCAGTAGATCACGTCCAGCCAATGCCTAAACAAGAAATAGCAGATTTTTTAATCATTTTTCAAAGAACGTAAGAAGTGTTCACAAAAACGCAACTGGTTGGTTAAGGCTTATTAATAGAAAGCAACGGAAACTGCAAGGAAATGTCTGAGTATGCCACCGCACAGCTACACAGAGATTTACATAAATAAAAAATGTGTGTGCGAATGCGTCATAAATTCTAAGCAAAAGAATCTAGAGCACAACTGCATGAGGATATATGTATGTATAAATATATGTACTCGGATGTACAAACCCACACAGTGGCAGATACGAAATGAATGCAACAATTGCGAATGCCGTGCCGCATTCGTGCGGAAAATCATTTCAGATACTCGAATACATACATAAGTGTGTACATATGTAAATACATACATATATTATTTTACATGTTGCAGCTGCTCAGTAGGAAATTCTAGAAAAAATCAAAAAAGAAAATTCAGAGGAAAATTAGTTAAAAATCTGTGCAAAGAAATGTGGCAGGAGGGGTAAGCTCGAAATTGAATATGGAACCCTGACCAAGCGCACCAGTACCAGTAGGCCATGTTGTGAGACATATTTTGGGCCTGTGAAGAAGATTCCTCTCATCTTTCAAGATGCTCGAATACAAGTTTGGTTAGTCTTATGAAGTTCAGAAGATTTATTTTGCCAACGGATGCAAGCCCTGCAAGGCAAACGAGGAAGAAATTACCGAGAAAACACAGCACTCAGAGCTGGGCAGTGGCAGAGGTAATGTTCCACCGACTCCTCCTCACCTAAGTCCTGCTGGTGCGGCAAAATTCGTTTGAGAAGCGAATCTTTCTTCTACCATAATATTATGCCCGGTTATTACGACTGTTCTTAAGCTTATGCAGATCCTGTTTGGAAGGAGCAAAGTTTTACTTAATAATCAGTTCGGTCAAAAGCCAGATTTGTTACGACCGACTTTTCCATCGAGTTTAGAGTCGTCGGTGTAGTTGGCTACGTAACTTTGACTCAGACCTATTACATTTTCTCTTCCGAGAATGGTATAGAATGGTACGTAATCTGAGGTTATATCTAGGTACATATATATTTAACCCCAGTAGAAAGACTGATCCCGAAGAGGCAGCTACTTACTATGTAAAAGGCATTTTGGATCAGATCGCTTAGACCCCGGATGTGTTTTCCTGTTCCAGTGAGGGCAATGTCCTCGTGGTATTCCACTGTATCTCAATCCGCCAACATAAAATTTTTCTATGAATTATTCCTTCTGGGTTATGGTTAACTTTAAGCAGCGCATATGCAATCGTGACTTACATACATACAAATGTATGTACGAGTATTTGTGCACAACATATAGCATACAATAACGCACACACAAGTTGTTCGTTTAAATAGCGCCTCAGAAGTCGGATGTAGAAAGTACTTTAGACGACCACTCAGTGTCGAGGGCTGCTGCATGAGCACTTCCAACCGACGGAAAAGATAAATGGAAAAACTCAACTTAAATTAGACTTGTTGAGATAAATTGTTTGAGTTAACGTGTTTTGTAGTCTCTTCTCGTTTTCACCGCCCAGCCTTGTCTTGGCTACTTAGTTGATTACATAGATTATGTTGTTGTTTAATAAACATATTGCTTTGGTGAATTTCAACTTGGCTTATGTGTAATTGTATAAGAGGACGAGCTTATGTCGGAGGCAAATGGTTTTTCGCTAGAAGAATGCAAGTGAAAATCTCCCATGCTCCACCACTCATAACTTGATTGATATGCTTTGCTATGTCCCTCCCTTGACTCCCTTGAAATTAGTTAAAAGACGGTGCTGTTTCATTAGAGGAGGAATAAGTTATATTTGACTGACTACAGGGGTTTCCAGCTTTCCTTCGGCCAAAATTTACTCAAATCTGTTATTCTGTTGTTGTTGTTTGTTTGGCTGACACGATTTTTTAACCGGAAATAAGGCTATACTTTCCGAAGGTTTTTGACGTGCAGAATCCGACAATTCCAGCTCTCAAGTTTTAGAGATAATCCAACCTAAAAGTAAATAAAAAAACGTTTTTTTGCTATATTTGGGATCATGCCACCTCTAAAAGTTCTTCTTTTCTTTGGAATCGTTATTTTACCTGAAAGTACCACTTCCACTCTCCAAAACCATTTTGAATTTTTAAAAAATCTTTTTTTTTTGCCCCTGAGAAATTGTCTATAGAATTTACAGAGTTTGCAAAACTCATAACGGGATTATATGAAGTGAAAAATTTTTATTAAATTTTGGAACCAGAAAAAGGTCTATACTTTTTCGAAGTTTTTTTATGTGCTCAATCCGAATTCCAGCACGATAGCTGTCACCGAATATGACGTCACAATTTTCAATGGCATATCTTGAAGTGGTAAAAATTTTTAATGAAATATTCTATTTTAAGAAGTAAAAACAAAATTGTGAAAACAGACCATTTAGATCCGAATAAACCCATGCAACCTCTTAAGAGTTAACTAAGGGGGTTCTATTGCAGCCATCTGAATTTTATATGAAGAAGGCTTTAAATATTTTATATAATTTGATTTCATTGAGGGAAGTGAGCCAGTCGTGTGCTCTTTCCAGTTGCGGGCACCCCCGCCAAGAGGAAGCGGATATAACTTATCTGAATATTGTCAATCCTATATGTTGATAGAGTCTCTATCGATATTTGTGGTCTGGCGTTGCCCTAATGAAACAAAATTATCATCCTGTTGTCCGAAACTAGGAGCCTCTGACAGTACAACTCCATCAAAAACAAAACAGAACCTCCGCAGTCATAACTCCTGGCTTGGAGGCTGTTTGTACCGGCTCACTGCCCTTCGACGACGACCAGTCTTCACCCGATTATGATTCAGCATCGATTCGTTAAATCTTGTGACACCCATAAATGGAGCTTCATTGTGTATCCAGCCTTTTTTTTTGCGCAATATTTAGCTCTTGGGCTATCGATGCAGTGCTCGGACGAAGGTCAGACTCGACGATTTCGACGGTCTTTCACACCGTGGAGCATATTCAGTTATCAAAATATCATCTTTCTAACGCTATCCAACGTAACCCATTCGCCTCTAAAGAACGCGAGATGCAGCGCACCACAGCCATCTGTTGCCAAAATAATGGATGACTTTTTACTAGACCCAATACTACAAACAGTTTATCTTTGTGAATATAAGAAAACTTATTTTATAAAAAGTTTTGGATGGAAATTGAATATTTTTTTTGGAAGGAAGAACTATATACGTACGTACATAAGTCTTATTTAATTTCAACTGGTTTTAGGCAGGAAAATAGAAATGCAGGAATAGAAATTCAAAACAAAAACTAAAAAGTCTAGCAAAATTATAAATAGAATAGATTAGTTTAGTTGAATAGTAATAAAAACATTTTTCTGATTCAAATTGCTTTTACATTCATGCATAGTACATACAAACAAACAGTATACATGTCTACAAGAATTTTGCCAATAAATTTAATCTGCATTTTATTTACGTTTATAATTATATATTTTCCATATATAAATATGTATGCATGTATTTC